GTGATTCTTCGGGAGCAACTGGACAATCCTAACCAACTGTTCATACGCGAAGGTCYTGTCAAGYTACCATRCGAAGACAAAGGTCTTGGTGCATTATACAAACAAATTCGGGAACGGGCTTCATTACAACGGTTCTCTACAGATTTATAGTCGACATCGTGATAGGGTAGCTGCGAGAGATTATTCACGTTATTGTCGCGGCCTATGACAAAATATGACAGCTCTTGCTAAGTAATCAGCTCTATGTTTTCAGGTTGCAGACTGTGTTAGGTTAGCAAGTGGAACGTTGTTAGGTAATAACCGTAAGTCAACACATGATATGTAGCGATTATTTAATAAATGACTGAATGAATGGATTTCTTTCGTCCTATAGAATATACCTCATTGAACTTACAACGTCTTATCYCGTCGTCGAGACATCTGATGGGCGGTTCCATCTTTTCGAGGGCTGATGCTGTACGCAAAACCCGCCCAGCCTCGCCGGGTTTCCCATGCYAAGAAGTATAAATACCACAGCACTGTATGCCAAGTTGAACAAAGTTACGTTATTTCTACCGTAYCCAGAGTTCCAAGTAGACCCACCTTCAGAATATAGGAACTTCCCGTAAATAGGCATACTGTTGGAAAGTGAGCAGGGGTACACGACAATTAGGATTAGAAGAGTAGGGTCCAACTCATTCCATAGACTCTTGTCCTTATCAAACTTAGGAAGGCGCGCCTTACTGACGCCCGACAAGAGACCTTGGCCTCCTGCTCACCTCGCTTAGCTACTGAACTAGTAGGTGAGTTCTAGCTTTTACTGTAGTAGAATATTTCAGTTACATGATAATAGGGGATCGGCCGCTGCAGACCGCATGAGATGCAACCTGGCCGCCTAGTATAGGACCAAGGGACCCCATTGTCAAGGAATGTCAAAACAAGCCTTGGGAGTCAAGACTGGGTGAGTTCGAAGAAATTTGATTGAGGGCTCTCGAGCCTCAGCCGAATGAGTGACTATTCAAACTGCATTTCCTCTTCTTCGTAACTCCTTCCACAATGATATCGAATGACTGATAAAGTGTCGGTTCCTTGTTCGTCTTACTGTTTCCATATATCACCCCTCACTGACCAGCTTCCCAAGCGATTAAAGGTTCAGTCCTATGATCATCGAGTCAGAAACCTGACGTTGACAGCGACGACATTGGGAATGCCCATGTCAATCTCGGGAGGTACGACGTCGAGTCACCCCCAACGCCTACGCTTGATGGAAATCGACGCAGGGGTGCCTCTTCGTGGACCAAGCGGTCCAGACTTCGTAGCCGCCATAGGGTTCCCTCTTATATGGTCACTATGGTCCCTGTGCGTAATCCAAAAGTGCCCACCTGGATAGCTTCTCAAGGAAAAAACGGATCCGAGCCTGGGGGACACTACCATCATGGCTAAGAGACCCGGTCCCGCCTTTCAAGGAGAGGTTTATGCAGGCAAGTACCACTCGATCGCGTACCGGGCCCACAGTGCCCGCACAAAAGGTGGTCCCAGGGCAGCCACGGAGGGACCTAGAAGATCAAGTGAGTAACTCGCAGCCGATCTGCATACATGAATGGGGTGAGTGAGTGGACAGAACGTTACCAGTGAAAGCAGGACATGCTGCGTGAGACCCAGATGCGTCATAACCCGGGCGAGAGTGTCATGACCGCCGTCTCTCTCCACAGCACCGAGGATAGCTTCGACAGCCGTAGCAACCATTCCGGGTGTAACCCGAACGGTGCCACCGTTGACGTTGATGCAGGTGTCGAGGCCATGTTCCATACCGACTCGGGCAAGATTCTCGTTGCTGATAAGGTCATGTCGAAGCATAGTCCAGCAGTCTTTGCGGAGTGTCTGTTAGCTGTATCCGCTCACGAACTCGGGTTTCTAAATTCAACAAACTCATAACTAACGTTTGTCAAGGCCCCGCTGCACCCAGATGCTGCACAAGTAGAAAGCGACAGCGGAATCGCCGTAGATGGCGAGGCGGTCATTCTTGGGCATCCTCTGAAGAAGGCCATCCAAAATATAGACGGACTTAGAATCCGCTGCAGCGTTCAGGGCCTCGGCGCAGAGTACCTTAGAATTGAAGCAGTATCCAATAATTGCCTCGCACTGGGAGACCTTTGGACCAAAGCTGGAAGAGAAATCCATGGTTGCTGTGAGGTGTAGACCGGAATAGGAATAGAATATGGGACTCAATTTTAACAAGTAAAGGTTTGAGAACCAACATGAGATGGTGCGGACCTCAGCTATTATAAACCATTCAATCAAGGCTAAGTCCCCCCCTTCGTAGATGTCATCGATGAGGGGCAAGTGGGGCAGGCACTTACGGAGTAATTTAGAGCCGATGGCAGTCAAGCATCAAAAGCAATCTAGCGCGTAATTGTGACTTGAGGCACGGAAGAGGCAATAAATAGTATAGACATATGGAATAGACCGGAGATACGTATACACGTGGGAAGTAAACAGGGGTGCACGACAATTAGGGGTATACAACAGTTAGGAATAGAAGAGTAGTGTCAAGCTTCTGATCAGTTGCTTTGCCTTGCTGTGCTATGAACCCATCTGCGTTTTCGGCCGGGTCTATCGTTTTCCAAAGGCTGAGAACCTARATGTAAGCTTCCCTCGATGTAATAAATCGATGCATCTACTTGAAGTGCATTTTAGCGACGAAAACCTATGGGTGACCTGAATCCGTTGGGTGCAATGGATTCACATCGCCATTTCATTAGCGCCTTTTTTTTATTATGGAAAAGCCATTAGATTCAGAGCTGAATCTGCCGCGCAGCTAGGATAGGTAGGAAATGAAACGCTTGACAGACAAACTTCACTATTCCGTAATAGGAAATGTGACGCTCGATCGAGAGTCCAACCTTCGCTATGTTGGATGACATGCCACGGCTACAATATTAATCAAAATTGAATAAATTTGGCTCGGAATACTAATTCAAGCCTTAGAAAGGGGCCCGTAATTTAATTTAGCCGAGAAATGTGCTGGTGGCTTTTAACCCCAAGTCGAATTTGCCTTCTGGAGAGACGACCAGACTGAAGCGCTAATAACAAGCTCGTCACTTTGCCGAAATTGATCGGTGAGTTTTTTTGCAGTCTTGTATCTTCTCCAGCCATCAGTCACGGCTGAAAAGTATTTGCGCTCCTCTTTCTTGATTTGTTCTGGTGATAAGTCTTCTAAGACCAATTCCATTCTCACTTGCTCCATATCCGATCTCTGTTGCAGATTTCGAATATGCTTCAGAGGAGAAGCAACGCTGGAATTTTTTATTAGATCATATAAAGCAGAAAAGTGTTGGAAATCGCACAGTGAGTCCATGTTGACCCATCTTATGAAATGCCATATCGTCTCCGCTAATGACCAGAGCACAGAGCTGGCGCCGCTTGTTACTCCTATATGATCCATGAAACTTGTCCTAAACGATGCCGTTGCTGAAACTGATGGTTGATCTCTCGGATGGGGCATACCGGGTGTTACAAGAAGCTGGGGGATAGGGACCGTGGACGCAAATGACCAATCAATGATGCAGGTGATGTTGAAGTCTTCATCGACGAATATGTTGTTGATACTAAGATCAGGATGGCTAATTGCAAAACCGCTTCCGAAGCATTCAGTGACTTCAGGATGATTGGTTGTGGCCAAACTTGGTATAATATCTTCGACGGCTTTCCCAGCAGCCAGGTAGTCGAAGCGGTTTTCACCGCTGTCGATCTTCAAGCCAATTGTCACAAAGTCGTTCCAAAGGTCTGTCGCTCGGCGATACGTCTCAGGATTGTCAAATTCGCTCTCAGTTGGTACTGGAGCTCTAAAACAGTGGTGACTCATATCAAGATCCTGAACGTGTACTAGAAATGTGTCGAGCAAAGAGCGATAAAAGATTTCATCATTTGGGAAGGGTCCGCGTTTGATTTGCGAGAGGGAATGGCGGTCTTGAAAATAAAATGCCGGATTTAGTGAATGTTTTGTGACGAAATGTCCGTCTTCTTCAAAAAGCGATCCAATCTGGTCAAACTGCAAGCGGAGTAGCTGGGAAGATATTTTCCCGAGTTCTGCCATGACCTTTTCCTGGGCTTTGAGAGAGATGGTTTCGCGGTTGTTGTTCATCTGCAATTGATGGGGACCATTGAGCCACGACCAGGAAGCTAGAGAAGTGCCCTTGGCTTGGCTCATTAAAATATAAGGGACCCCAACATCGTTTGATGTAGTGCAGCTAATATTCTATCAGAACTATTGGTTCATGGCTCGGGTTACCAAAAACATACCTATAATCATAAACGATTGGCACGGGTATTGTGCTGTGTTGCGAAACGTACTTCATCGTTGCCACCTCACTCGCAATCAGGCCTGGCACCAACTCCTCCGGTAGCCTCGTTCCAAAAGACTCTTTTCGTGGTGTGCGAAAGATCCATTTTACGCCATCATCGAATGAGATAATGAAAACCCAATTGAAGCTGCCACTGAGCGGGGTTTGTGACGAATCGCATGAGCAAGGTCTTTTCCGCAAATCGCGTGCCAGCCGAGCGACAGCTTCGAGATCCAAAGACGGGCGGAAAATACCCGGTGCCATTACGACCAGCAGACGGCAAGCTGCTCTCCGAATGAAATGGTTGAAGGAAAGGTAATCAATCTTAAAAGGTTGGAGATTTAGTGTGGGGAAGCGAACCTCTTGACTTTTTGCCTGAGGCATTACTGCGGAAGCCACGTTTTAGGCAGCCATGCCAATCACATGGTTCCTTATCCAAAGAAACAAATTCCGAAGCCCTTTTCAAATTCTTCTTTCACAATGATCATCACTTGTACCAGTTCGATCAGACATAATTACCAAAGTTCCTTATTGTTGAACATGCCTCGAAAGCGCCGGCAGCAGCCAGGCACTCCTCCAGACCTGCCAGAGATACCCCAAGGTGCCTACAAAAAAGCATATTACCCCCACCCGGATACGGTTTATTACTATTTAGGTCAGATGAAATCAAACTTATAGATACCATATGCGCTAAGGCTTCCTAGGTGAGGGTTTTTGGCGCCGGGGTACGATAAGCAATGAAACTCAGAGCACTAGTCTTCATGTTGTATGCCATCCATCACGGGCGCTTCGAATGCCTGAACTAATGGCTCCAGGTTATTGACGAGGATCTCGGATCATCCTATTCTGTCAGGGTTGAATACATCCGCAAGAGAGCTGACTGGGATCAATGAGGGTATCTACTTATTTGCGCAGAGGCTATTGATAGGCTCGCAATTATGAAAAGTCCAGTAGGCAAACGCAAGCTAGGTCTTCAAGGCCGCCACCATTTTTTTTCTTTTGGCTAACCTAATCCTGTTATATAGTTCTTTGGTCTAAAGACATACAGAATGAAGTTTTGAATTAAAATTCTTGTTGCGCCATGTCATAGTATATTGCGATAGAATGACTCTCAACCGAGTGTTACATTTCCTAGTTAAATCAGCTAAGAAAAATGTCAAACGCATCAAACCATAATCGTAGTAGTTTTGCTATGACCAGTTCTTCCAGTATACCTAATGATTTCATGCCGAAGACAGTACTGGAAACTCGGAGATTGAATGGACATAGAGTTGGGAAGGCCTTCAAGAACAATTGAAGCTAAATGGGACTGTTGAACTTTGGATTAAAGGAGGTGTGCAGGGGGGCAAAGATGATCGTAAACATCGTCTAAATCCCAATGATTTCAGCATGGGTGGCACGGATCAACATGCCTCGAAATGGGCCCGTTTCGCGTTTTCGTAAGCACAACGTCGTTGGTAACGGTGCCCGTTACGAGTTTGAGGACCCTATGTTGAGTTGGGAGCTTGCGTGTAAAACAGCAAGTGGCGCAGCACTCGGGTGATGAGAAGCAAGGCACAGTCTTCGGCGGGAAGCTCTTGAGTTGTTGGTTGTTCGGTGTAAGTAGGGCCGACAGATCCCATCGCTGCCAGGGGAGGTAGTACGCTCCTCGGGGTCGCTAGACGAAACCTGGAAGCCGGCCGAGCTAACATATCCTTCGAGGACCGTATGTCTTCGAACTCGCTTTGCTTCTGGTGTCCCATCGTTTCTGGGAAGGGGACGAGGGTAGTGCTTGACGGCTGCCAACGCAGCCCACATCTCACCGAGAGAAAAGCCATACTCGGAAATCAGGAAGCGAGTGCTATGGTGCATCAAGGCCGGATCAGGCCCTTCTAGAAACTCCTTTATTTCCTGTATTTCTTCAATACGCTGCGTGTGACCCTCATATGCGGGGAGCACATTGTGTGCTGTCGGCAAGATGATGGCCCGACAGGCCAACAGCTGGCGACGGCCCCAGTTGCTGCCAGAGGCTTGGAGGTCGCCGATAGAGAGGGGTCCGCCGGAATGCTTCAGCTCGGCCTTGAGCTGGGTGTCAAATGCACTCGCAGATGTTACGGTTTCAAAGTATCTAGCTGACATCCTGGTCTTCGATGAGGAAATCGTCTAAAATTAGGAAATGTGTCAGCCTAAATTCATGAAAGGACTCCTTAAGTTTATGACGATTTACTTGACTCTCCTCGTCCATTAGGATCAAGGTTTCTCGTCTCCTTGCGGCCTGACTTTGGTATACAGACGGAAACAGGAAGATCTGCCTTACGCTAAGCGCTGTCTCGTGAAACCGGGTTTGCTGGTAAAGCACGCAACTTGTAAATATGTGATGGTTGATGGTTGTCAGACAGCCTACCTTTTACCGTTAAAAATGTACCACTTGTTCCGTATACCCCTCGCCAACTTGACTGGCGTTAGAGGCGGAGTTTGCGACGAACTGGAATCTCTTTCCAAAGAGTCTTTGGTCGCTCTGGTTCGCCAACAGCGAGCATACATCGAGCGAATGGAAGAATTGCCGCCATCATTGACCACGAAGCCAAGCACGACGTCATCATTCAGTGATCCAAGAGAATATTTCAAGATATTTGGGCTCGATCCTAGAAGTTCGGAAGATATCGATGAGGTCCTGACCTCCCTATTATCGCGCTTTAGCATTAAAATGGCACCCCGACAAAAATGGCGGTGACCCTGAGAAAACCAAGAAGTTTAAGAAGCTCCAGACTGCATACGAGATACTTTCAGACTCCGAACAACGCAATCGTTACTTAACTTCTAACTTAACGTCTGGAAGAAGTTGACTTTTTTTTATTATCAGTGATTTGAAAGCAAACTCGGTTATGTGATCAGGCTCAGGCTGTCTAGCCTTGATAATAAAGCATAGTTAGGGACTAATAAAACCCTATCACTTAAGTATCTTACAGACTTAAGTTAGCTGATCCTGGAAAGACTACTTCTGTGATCTTGCTGATAAGTATTTTTATAAGAATTAGATAATAGTATGGTATTTATTGATCTTATTACGTAAATATCGTTTATTTAAGTTCTTAAAGAGCTTCTGTGCTTCTGGCTGGGTAAGGGGAAGGCTCGCCATGTTGACTGGCGACGCAGTGAATATATCTTTGTTATAGGTTTGAGTATGATGGTCTGATGAATAGTTTGTATTTCTGTCGCAGCGACTTGTTAAACTCGAGAAAACCATGCCGGCACCGCTTGGCCGTGTCGATTTTCTCTTATGGATTGGTACGGTTCTTAGAGAGCATAATGATTTCCTATTTTGGCTAGCGTGAGTCAGCTGTCCCATATTGTACGTTATTATTAATATATATGACTAATAAAAGTTGGAATTGCATTCTTAAACCTGTTGATTGTTAAATTCAAATGCTGCATTTGTAAGACTAAAAAACAAAATTATTTTCTTTACCAGCGATTTATTGCAGTAAACATTACGCCCCGGTAGCTCAGGAAGATTGGAATCAGCTCAGCTCACTGTTATGAGTTGATAGTTGAATAGCACGTGACGCAACAACCAATGCTCTTGATTCGCTATCACAACATACGCGGCATGCATGAGAACGCGTCTACAATGCGGGGTGGTGGATGACTTGGAAGCGCGATTTCGAGGTACTTATCTTATGTTCCTGAACTCAACACATCCTCACGTTCACTAGAATAGTTCCCGGTTAACAACTTTCATCTCTGTTATTCTTCAAGCTCCCCTCCACCCCAACAGGATGTCGAATTTTCCCAACAAACGAAGGAAAGTTAATCAGACCCCAGATCTTGAAAGTTGTTGTGACCGGTGCCGCACACTATCAAGGTCGGCTATGATTCAGAAGCTTGCCAATAGGAAATACCACTGTGTTGCAGAAGTACCCGAATCTCAGCAAGAGCTTGCATCGTCTTCTTGTTGTATCTGCCAATCACTTGCAATACTCAAGTCGGATGACTCGCAAACCTTTCTACACGCTCTATCAGCTGGCTGGCTTTTCAAAGGGTTGACGGCGACTCGACTGTCGAAGCTCAAACTTACGGATACAGTTCTATTACGTCTCGACTCGAGGAAAGAAAAGAAAGAGACGAAAATAGATAAAGTCATGGGCAGTCTCATAGCTGTTGAACCAACCAAGCCAACCTCAGACCCGTTTTCCAGCTTTTTGCCTTCTCAACCCTGGCCTAGAACTATTAAGTATGAACAAATCAAGTCTTGGATCACCTACTGCAATGCAAACCACGATGACACTTGCACATCAAAGGAGATGACTCAGCTTCAGCCTTTCAAAGTCATAGACTGCATTTCTTACCAGTCTGGAGAGCCTATCAAGCCTGTATCACTTCCTATGAATCAGGAATATGCAGCTCTCTCATACGTCTGGGGAGAATATGACAAAAAGCAGTCAGGTGTAAGCGAATCAAAGGCTCCAGTCATCAATGATAGTATTGAAGTGACAAAGAGATTGGGTTTTAAGTATCTATGGGTCGATCGACATGTGCGTTGAATAGCCAGTTATTTACTATTTGCCGCCTACTGATGATTCATAGTGCATCGACCAAAAGCAATCAGAAAATTCGAAGAAGAAAGAATTTGAGATGATGGACAAGATCTATTCCCAAGCCTCTTTCACCATCATTGCTGCAGCCGGGAAGGACTCTGCGGATGGCTTAGCTGGGGTGACTGCACCGCGCGATCAACAAAAAACACCGCTGCAAATAGATAACATGCAATTTCGCTGCCTTGGCAAACCACCCAGGGAAAAAATTCAGTCCACTAAATGGGCCGAAAGGGGTTGGACATACCAGGAAGGATTCTTATCCCGGAGGAGGATCTTCTTCACCAACGAGCAAGTCATTTTTCAGTGCAACAACATGACTTGCCTGGAGTCTCTGAGTATCTCTATGGAGGCGTTGCATATCAAATCGGGCAGAGTACTTGAAGACATTCAACCGTTAAAGATAAAACCGCCAGATACAAGCCGTAAAACCATAGGAGATCACATCATGGGATACAGTGCCAAGCAACTTACGAAGAAAGAAGATTCCCTAGATGCCTTTTTGGGTATCCTCAGCTACTACGAGGCGAAATACTCCTGGGGTCAATTTCTGGGAAATCCGATACATGATGAGGAGCCTCACATGATAAATGCATGGTATCATCTGAAGCCCGCAACTCGGGTCAGGAAGTTTCCAAGCTGGTCATGGACAGGCTGGCGGGGGAGATTGAAATTAACGAGCCGCGACAACCCAGAGTACAAACTTGAATTAGCAACCTTGACTGGAGAGATCGTAGATATCGATGTGTACAAAAGGCGAAGGCTTTTTGAGCGGCCTAGGTTGAAACCGTTCATTCAGTTAACAGGGATGGTGATAGATGTGTCATTCGACTTCATCGACTGGGACAATCACAAGGAAGATTGGACGCAGGGCCTTCAGAATGGAATCTGGGCCGCCCTTCGGTTCACCGACAACATTACCGCATATTCTCTTTTCTATCCTGACCATGAATCCCTTGCTGCGAAAAAGAATTTCTCTCTTCCAGCCATGATACTAGAGAGTGGTACGAGTTCAAAAGAAAAGAACACAATCATTCTCGTTCTTCAAGAGGGCAACGGATACTATGAGCGGGCTGGGTTGATCCGGATGGCTAATGTCGCGAGTGCAGAAGCAAAAGATTCAAGTCGGGAAAATGACGTGCAACCAACTGTGTACAAAGATGCTTCGGGATGCTGGTCGAGGCATGCGCCAACATGTGAAAGGAAAAAGTGGGTTTGGCTACAGGCAGCCGAGGATAGAACCTTTCAAGTATTGTAACTTTTATTTATAGGAAATGGAACGCCATAGCAGTGGGCGCGACTAGGATGATACAGTAACTCCAGAAGGCATATTCGACTTGGGGTTCAAGGCTGTTAACACATTTTTGGACCGAAAGAAATTGAAACCTCTCTCTTGGGGCTCGAATGAGTACTCCAGGCCAAGTCTTATTCAATTTAAATTGATATTGTTGTCGTGACTTATCATGTAATATTGGGCTCTTGATCAAGCGTTACATTTCCTATTATGGAATAGCGCAGCTCATCAGTCAGCTTAGTCACGCATGGGATCAGACAGGGCACTCATACCCGCACAACCGGTTGTGCGACTAGTATCACGTGTTTTTCGCACAACCGGTTGTGCGGATAAGGCTGAATAGCTGACTTTGGATTAAATGCACAACTGCTGATCAACAACAACACCATTTTCAACTGAAATAGCTATTCAATGGTGTTTTTCGTCTTCATGAAAGTTCATCACTTCATATTTAATATCATTGATCCGCTGCTTGGCCTCAATCTACCGCAAATAACACAGAAGTAACGTAACCTTCCAACTCACAAGATCACACAAGAACAGTCATCTGTTCATGATATCAAGCATAAGAAGAGAGCCTCGTCACATCAGAGAGATCACTGATACTGAAATACAGAAGCCCTCTCTGCTGTGACTGCAATATGATCAACTCAACAGCATATAACCTCTTCTTCTCGACTGAGATTAACGAAGGGAGGTGCTATATACAGGATATCTGTTGTTATTCCTTCAGTTATCCTATGGAAGTAGGTCCTCTGTCACTCCTGATCTGTACAGCAAGCGTTCAACATAGCTGTGAGTCAATCAGTAGATAGTCATATAAATTGAGAACTGAATTCCTCTTCTTGTCTCCTCAATACAACGTCTTCCTTCAAGATATCAAGCAATCCAATAAATCTTCTAGCTTACAACGTCTCTACCTCTTCAACGATGGCTCCCAACAACAAGAATAACAATACCGGCTTCCAGATCTTTGAGGATAGTACTGCAACCCCTTCTGCCCCGGTTCCTTCGAACCAAAACAACCAGTTTGTCCTGCAGCCTGCTATTGCTGCAAATAACCTTCCTGACCACTTGGGGACTGGGCAAATAGTGCGTGAGGCAGCAGGCTTCTTTCAGCCTATCCCCCAACTTGTTCTTCATGGCCAAGAGAATCTGGGAGTGCAACAGCCGGTGAACAACGTGTTCAACACCAATGGTTGGATAGCCCAGAACGCCCCCCCGGGGGCCAACACAAATGTAGGTCTCCTGACGCCGGCACAGCTACATACGGCATACAACACCAGCTTCGTGCCTGCTGGGGCTCCAGCAACTGTGGCGAAATGGAACCAGGGATACAGTGTTGAGGGAAACTGGCATGCCGGCCAGCTTCACAATGCTGTCAACCAACGGTTGGCTCGACCGGTCCCTGATGCTGTGCCTTTCTGGACAGCTCAAACGCTGCAACGGCAGGACGCAGCATATCGAGCAGGGCCTCCAATCCCTGCTACAATGTGGCCTACGCCTGCAGTTGGAATGACTATGCATGCACCGACTATACAGGTGGCCCAGCAGAATGGCATGCATATCAATTCGGTCACTCCACAGGGGCATATTGTGTGGACTTGGACGGGCAGACAGTAGGGGGAATTGAGGATGTTTGGGGTTACTTTCTTGTGTGTATTTAGTGGGATATATGCTAGTTCAAATCTCTTACTGAATTGATGTTAGTTGCTGTGTTGAGGCTATGATCTGCTTGAAGAGAAATATGTGATTCCCTCACTTCATAGGATGCAATTCTCCACATCCGACCCTATACCATTTTGTTACTCCCCCACAACTTTGGCGCTTAATGGATTGAGGCATTAAAACATATACCAATCAATGCAGCTTTCTTTTCTCGATTTAATGATATATATATTATTATGGTCAGATGCTGGTGGCTGATTGTAAGTATAGGCATTCCGACCGAGATAATTGATTTGCAAGCATTGACGATTTCGCACCCTCCAACTGCACTGACTCCCCATCATCATAACTAGCACAAAACGAAAAGTCTGCTCCTTTTACGTAGAGATGCAATTGACTGACAATAGATATATCATTAAATTCACCGAAATTCGCTCTATCTATCCATAACTCTCAATTGACTGATACCCCTTTTCCTCTCATTTGGCATCAGCCTGACTGACCATTTGGTGATCTCATCGGGAGAATCACATCGCCGCCCCGATGCATCCGTGATAACATGCAACTTGCAGGTCCCTGCCTTTGTACGTAGTTGGGGCCTTCTGCATCAAGAAGCCCTTGTTCCTGGTCATCAGCATCATGATTGCCTCTATCATCGGCGTCAATCCAGCTGTGCATCTCCTCCAATGTCCAATCTCTCAGCTTATTGCAGTTATGAAGCTTGACGAAGGGTCCCATCTGCCCTTCCTCCCGGCACCACCGATAATTGACTGCAGGATACCGCGAGGGCAGTCCAACAGCTTCTCTGTAGGCACGATCGGTAAGAGAGGCACCGGGGGGCTGCTGGTTGAACCACGCCTTGCGAGATTCCTGATACTYTGCATATACCGTATGTACGACTTCTTGGAGATAGTAGAGGGCCTGAGACGGTTGTGCCTGTGGTGTTGTGCTTGCAGCTGCAGCAGGAGATACGGACCTGCTTGCTACATATATGGCCTCCCCTGTAGCTGTATCATGTTCTTTTTCCATGGCCTCAAGCTCTGCTGCCATTTCAGTATACTTCTCAGGGCACGCCCTTGACCTTCTGTTGTGGCCTTGCTTGTGACATCGAGAGCAGGTCTGTAGCTTCCTGGGCACTGAAGGAAGTAGTGCCCTTTCGACTGCTTCGAATGCACATGTATCTCGCCGTGTACTCGATGTCGGCTGTGACTTTGAAGCTGCACGGCGTTCATCGACTTTGCGAGGCTCGAATACAAGCGGCGGCATCCCAGATCGCTGGAGATGCCAATGAGGATGGAAATGGCTCGTCAACAAGGGCACGTTTCCTTGTATCAGTGGCACAAGAGTGTGAGCACAAGGCATGCCTGTAGTCTTCATGAAGCTTCCGGTGCACTCAGGGAGACTCTCTCCTATCTTTTCYCGCTGTTCATCGACCATGATCAATGCCTTATGTGATATCCAACCGCGGACTTGGCTGTAMAAAGCTCCTGATAATATGTAGACTCGCCAAGTAGGTCTTGTTGCTTGGTCATGAGCCTGTGCAGATTTCAGGGAAGCTAGCTGGTTTACGATCACCAGCTTGATGATTTGGAAAGCCTCGAAGAGGTCAGCCTTGGAGCTCTTCATATGGGTTTTCAGCAGGGAATGTATACCTTCTACTCGGGACGTAACGAATTGGTTCAGATGTAGATACTCATTTACAAACGCCTTAACAAACTTCCCTTTATGGGGGTTCAGCCAGGTTGTGAGAAGGTAGTCTACCTCCCTCGGCTGTGAACGAGTGTACTGAAGCAGGAAAGCCTTTAGTCTCTCATCATAGATGGCCGGAGACTTTGAGGCTATAAGCTTCTGCCAACTGTCGTTGAACTCGTTCCACGCCTCTTGTCCCTTTTCATCGTTCTTATCCTTCATGAAGCCACTCATACAGAAGGCAAGGACTGCTCTGTTGAWATGCCAAAGGCAGAGTATAACCTTTGCTGCCGGAAAGCAGAGAAGGGATACAATGGCATTCATACAAGCAAGACATCTATCAGTCAGTACAACTGAAGGATGAGGAATATCGTTGGCATCATACAAATATCGCAACGCCCCAAGAGCCCAGGCGAAGTCCTCCTCTTCCTCGCCWCTGAGATATGCAAATGCAATACAGAAGGTGCTTCCTGTGGCATCAACACCAACCATATCGAAGAGAGGCATCCTGTACTTGTTGGTCTTGTAGGTACAGTCAACTATGAGTACTTCAGGGTATGATCTAGCGAATTCGACTGACCCTGSATGAGCAAACATAACTGACTGCAGTCGAGAGTCTTCTCCAATAAGGTAACGACTCCAGAAGCCCTGTGATTYGAGATGTTGAAGCAGGGCAACCATGTGGCTCTGTCCATTGGCAASGTCTTGCTTTGCTCGAGTGATACAGTTCGCGAGATCCGAGTCAATGAACATTGCATCTGTATTCTGCAGTAGGTAGGTCTTAGTTTGGCGTTGCTCAACGCCAGCAAGGGTGAGCTTCTTGACCATGAGGACATCTTCATCAGCAAGCTTTCGGTGAGTTGTATGTGCAATGCCATCTCCAACAGTAGGCTCATGATTGTGCTCATGATGGCGAGGATCAGGGCGATGTCGAAGACTCCATTTACTCCCACARAGGCTCTCTTTTCCTATTACAGAGAGCTCGCACATTGTGCGTTGAGTAGTACGCTTCCTCTTCCTCTTAGAATCAGGAATTGGTACATATATCCCTCCGCCGCGGTCACAGCTGAAGTGTATGAGCAGTCTTCCATTTGCCGTACGATTCGTACGCCTCGTTACGAAGGCATATCCTCGAGCCTTTGCCCACTTGTCGATATCTGCAAGGAGGGCTTCTCGTGATGGATATGTTGCCTCTGGGGGAAGAACATCATCAGGCCACTGTTTTGCCAATTGAGTGGTAATAGCAGGGACTGGAGACTTAATATTGCTCAAGTGAGTAGACATTATATAGAGGAAGTTAAATTATGAAGTAGGAAGCCAGTAATTACTTTATTGGTGATGTAACTATAACAGGAAGATGAATTGACTGATGGTCTCCCGGTGGTGCGGATTTGACCGAAGAAGCTTACGTGGCCTTATCCGCACAACCGGTTGTGCGAAAAACACGTGATACTAGTCGCACAACCGGTTGTGCGGGTATGAGTGCCCGATAAGACAGATTTATGTGCTAATCTCTGTGCGCCGGAAGAGACTCGTCAATTATTTGAGGGATGATAATGGGAGTAATGGATATGGGACTGGCAGCAACCAAAGTGATGATGAGGATATGCGCGGCTGTCCTTAATATCAGACAAAAGCCGAGGTGCATCTTAGAAGCTGGCAAGCAGTAATACTGGCCAAACCTACACGACATGAGATAACTGACGATGGCCACGTGAGCATATGTTGCTTTCGTTTTCGTCACAATTTTCGTTATATCTTGTCCTCTATCCTTTGAAATATCCTTAAGATCTATTTGAACTGATGTATTGAGGCGGAGTGTGAGGCTGAACAGGTGTATCGGTAAGTCGTTGTCGTTTTGGAGATGGACTGCTAGGAGCAAGTGTCCCATCCATATCGATATCATCAGGCAGTATAGGCGAACCGGGCCGTTTCCGAGAGCGTCCTCGTGTAGATTCCTGATCCGTGTCGTCCTCGAGTTCGTCATCAGCTGAATCGTCGACATGGGAAAATGCATCGCCTTGTGGGCTGTTTTATGACTGATCGCGCCTTTGTCGTTTTGTCGGGCTGGTGCTTCTGCTTGTCCCGCGAGCAGCAAGATTGATGAGCTCCTTATACTCGTCCACCGACATCTCGCGCACTTTCGATGAGCCTGAATGGTCGAGGATAACTAGCTTGCGCCGTATACGCTGCCTAAGGAACGCACTCTTGGCAAAAATAGCAAGAGCGAAGCGACAGAATAAGAAACATCGTGAACCCCCTCGCAGGGGTTGCAGTTGCAGATTGTGATACTCCTGCTTTAGCTCAGTAGTAGAGGCATGACTGCTCGCAGTTGCGTCCGCTTTACGTCCGCCTAGACGACCTGATGTATATTTACTACGAACTTTATGGGGGATGTGATATAGTAGAGGAAATTTGGAGAGATCCAAAGACAAGTCGGGGTTGTGTCAGTTATATTCTGGATTTATTCCTTGGGTCTCTCGAAGTTCTCATGCTAGGGTTTGCCAGTGTGAAAGATGCGCAAGAAGATGAATTTGGAAGACAACCGAGAGACTCAAAATTGAGGAACTAGAAGAACATTTGCTAGTCTCCATGGTCTTATCAAAGACGTTCCCAGCTCTCAAAGCTATTTTTCTTGAATCATCAGAAGACATGTATCAGTTTACTGAGCTGGTCAGAGTTGGCCAAAGAGAAGGAGTGAATATCCATGTTCAGACCAAAACCCAAGTACCACAGCATCAGATAAGGTTACCCCAACCCCCCAAGCTCTCAGTCACCGATGTCAGGAAGATGTTGATCACCCGGAGTTTGACCCGTTCGACGGCTGTTACTTGAGAACCCCACAATTGACCTAGACTGATGAACAGGCCGATGGTCTGCGCTGAGACTAAGATGGCTTGGACACCCAATCTCGATGGAGAGAGGACTAGTAGAGGCTAGCTAGGTACTAGCGGAGTCTATACGCTCATTTGTTCAGCAAGCCATTGGCTATGTTAGTCAATTGTTCAGTTGAGCGTGATGCCACTGGTTTTCGGTGTCGGTATGCCAATCGAGAAAAGACAATAGGATCTAGGCATTGCAGTGCCCAGCTAATACGAGGCATTATTGTTATTCAATTGAGCCATATCTAACAATACTTTGGCGTTTGTCATTGGAATTAATATTTATGTCATCTGATATTAATTGGTTTCAGAGCGACGGAAGCTAGGTTTCAGCTGACAGCTTCTCTGATCTTCTTTGATAATAGCAAGTGTAGTTGAGATGCGGTTGAATGGCTTGTTTTGGATCGTTGTACCCTTAAAATGTTATCAAGGCGGGATAGAAATAGGGAACCGATTCTGAGTTTCGAGAATGGTAAATGCTAAGAGTACTGATCAGAGTTGCATAACGGATATGGTTCAGAGTGAGTAGTGGAGTTCTTCATGGGATTGGCCACAATAGCAATCCACGGGCAGGGTTGTAACGGAACGTACCGTGCAATGATTGAGTCTTGAGTAAAACCTCCGAAAAAGGGAAAGAAAGTAGAAAGACATGCGCAATACGGATCTAAGATATCTGAAAGCAATAAAAAGGATTAAATTGCATTTCATTTACTGCATATGAAATTTGTCAAAGGTGGATTTATCGCGGAGTTGTAAACTTTCAAACGGCCATTTAAATGCTAGTAACATCCAGGCGTCGCGCGTCCTATATAAAGGGGCCGAGATTGTGCAAGGCGTCAAGGCGTCAAGGCGTCACTATATTCATCAAAACAACCCTACGCCAGAGATCACATGGACTGACCTTGGCAGTTGACAACTGATTGTAGCTCCATTAATTACCTGGGATCTATATCAATATTACGAGTAGCCGTAAATCACATCAGCTATAAATTGTGTACAGTCTGACGAAACAAGATATCTTCCCATTAGCTAAAATAGCCATAGAGACTCAAGGCCACGGCAAACCAGGATCTTAGTCCATCGCACAGCTGTGTCTGCTCTTCAAGTGACTCCATATTGCTTCATCGGAATCGAAACTGCGATGATCTTTCAGCTCGGTGCGGCAATCAAAGCAGTACCAGTAATGCCCATGTGCATCCATTTGTCCGAGGCGCCCAGGACGCCTGATAAAGCCGACATGTTTCGCCCTGAGATGTTCAATCGCTTGCCCTACATCAGCAATTTCTTTGCCATGCTCGTAGCATGTTAATACAGGCCGCTTGCTGGACATCGTTAGTATCATGACTCTATAGTTATGCTCTCATATGCAGTGCATACTTTCTCATAGCAAAGGAACCTTTSTTTATGTAGCCTGCCGTAGTCAACAATTTGGTCAGGTGCGATGGCTAGATTTCAATGTAAGCTTAGGGACCCGAGTAGCAATGTTGAGGGCAGGACTCTGGAAAAACATTAATGATATTTGTGAATGGGACTTTGGCATCTGAAATACTGCACGTCATAGAACCATAGCTCAAACTATAAATTG